GTTTTAAGTTGCGCCTCCCGGCCGTTGCATGACTGCATCGAAATGCACGCAACGGAGCATCTCCTGCATCACTTGGATTGGATGCAGGCAGGTGCACTGCGGACATAATGTCTCCAGAGCTTTTCATTCCCGTAACCGACACAATGCAAAACGCTGTAGGACTGCAAGGTCAGGACACTACACAAACTATTCTGGGAGAAAAAAAAAATAATCGCAATCTCTTTTTTACCTGCCCAGACAATTCAGCAATCACAGCCGTATCATTCCCGTCCAGTTGAGCCAATCCCTCGCTCAGCCCGGGCAGCACGTGACTTCCTTTGCTTCCGGCCTTTACTCGGGTAGGCGCTCACTGTTGCCAGGCCGGGCGCTAGGACCCGGGTACTACTACTCCCGCCCACTCACAGGATTGCCTGCCCCTTTCTTGGGCTTCAGCCAATAGTAGGCCGCTGCTCCGCCGGGACCAATGGCGAGGAGATATTGCGGGGCCAATCGGTGACACACGAACAGAGCGGAGGTGGGCCTCGGGGTGGAGTCACGTAATGCGGCGTGCGCCGGTGCGGCTGGCTGCCGGGAGCTGACCGGGCCGAGGGGCCGGCGGCCGCCGGGAGGAATGAGGCTACCGGGCGCATAGGGGCCATGTCGCCCGGGCCCCGGGCCTGCCGCTTTCCGCACCCCGGCCGCCGCGTCCCACGTCCGCGCCGGGATGGTGAACCTGGCGGCCATGGTGTGGCGCCGGCTTCTGCGGAAGAGGTGGGTGCTCGCTCTGGTCTTCGGGCTCTCGCTGGTCTACTTCCTCGGCAGCACCTTCAAGCAGGTCAGTGGCCGCTCGCCTACCCCTTTTACCCCCTCTCTCCCCGTTGTCTCCGGCCGCCTGGCTTCCACAGCGCTGCCGCCTGCGCGTCCGAGGCTCGAGAGAGGTGGACATTCCTGTCCGGGTCTCGGGACGGGTCAGGGAACTGCTGGTGTCGATGGTCCCTGGGACGGGAAAGTGTTGCTGAGCTAGGACAGAGCTGGGACCCCAACCTTGTGGTGCGCGCCCTTCACCTGTGGTTATTGCCTTTATTACTGCCTACGTGCTTTTCACCTGCTAGGTCCGGTACTAAAAAAGGGCGTGGAGTTTCTCACTTCATCCTGGCAGCTGTCCTGGGAGAGAAGTGGGTGTTCCTGTATTGCAACCGGGGAACCCAAGATTCGAAGAGGTAGACACAGCTCAGACAGAAAAGTGGCCAGGATGCGAAGCCAGCGCTGGCGTGGCTGCCTTTCGTTTAATTTGGCGTTTCTGTGGTTCTCAGTGATTCAACAGGACACTCAGGGTGCACTTTCTGGTCATTACTTGGTTAGGTGGAATTTTTTTATACCCCACCTCTCCCATCGTTTTTCTTCCATGTGAGGATTTTGGGGGAGAAATGGCAGGGAGTTTCGGTGGGAAATACTACCCAAATCATTAATGAGTTTGTTTAGAAGTCCAGCCAGGGGCTCAGTGCCTGTGGCTCACGTGGCTAAGGTTCCAGCCATATAGACCTAAGGTGGCGGGTTTGAATCCAGCCCGGGCCTGCCGAACAACAATGACGGCTGCAACCAAAAAATACCCAGGCATTGTGGCGGATGCTTGTGGTCCCAGCTACTTGGGAAGCAGAGGCAGGAGACTCACTTGAGCCCAGGAGTTGGAGGTTGCTGTGAGCTGTGATGCTATGGCACTCTACCCAGGGGGACAGCGTGAGGCTCTGTCTCAAAAAAAAAAAAAGAAGTCGTCCAGCCAGGGCCCTTGAGTTTTTTAAAAGGGTAAGCCTACCCCAAAGTGCACCCGGATTGTTCTGGGTAATGCTGTTCTGATCGAGTTATTAGAAGCTTCTTTCTTTAAGCACAAGAGTCAAGTTTGTAAATATATAAATGAATAGAACATGACTAAAATGATACAATTACTTTAGTAGTAGTCCTTCCTTCCTATGAAAGAGGAGAATAGGGAATTGTATCCTACCTTCCACCTTAGGCAAACAGAGGCCAGTGTCATAAGGCTCTTTCATTTGCTAGGACGTGTGGGTAATCATGTGAACTAGCTGACGTCCACAAGTTGGGTGTTTAGGCACATCACAGACACTTTCTCACAGTCAAATGTTGTCTGTCCCTTCTATGCCTGGTGGACCCCTGAGTTGTGTTGTGCATCTGCATTTGGTTCTCTGTCTTCTTCTGTACCTGACTCAGTGATTTCTGGGGCCACTATTTAAATGCCAGCTCTATACTGTTGACACCCCTGTCTAGGTCCACTCAGAGCTCCCCCAAATTCATTTATTGCCTATTTGATGTGTTTTTTCCCCAGTTTTTTTTTTTTTATTGTGGCAGAATACTCAGGACATAAAATTTACTATCTTAAACTTTTTTTTTTTTTTTTTTTGCAGTTTTGGCCAGGGCCGGGCTTGAACCTGCCACCCCAGTATATGGGGCTGGCGCCCTACTCCTTGACCCACATGCGCTGCCCTATCTTAAACATTTTTAAAGTACGCGGTGAAGTGGTATTAAATACTTTCATAACATTATGAATCATTTTCATCCATGTCCATGATTCTTCATCTTGTAAAAATTGAAAGTTTATACTTAACGTTTGATAAGTGTAATCACTCCTCTTTCCTCCTTTCCCTTACCCCTAGCGATCACCATTCTACTTGACATTAGTTGTGTTTGTACTTGGCCAAAACAAGTCCTGATGTTCGTCTGCCCATACTTGTTCCATTCTTCCCAAGCTGACTAAGTGGAATTACTGTTCACCAGGTATTTCAGACCACAAATACTTCATTCTCTTCTTTCTCTTTCTCCCTGCATCCAATACATTGGCTCTGTCTCCACAGTGTATCCGGAATCCATTCACTATTCAGCTCTCCTAATTGTTAACTGCTGCTATCCTAGGCCAGGCCACTGGCTTTTTTTGTTTGAACTACTGCAGTAGCCCAGCAACAGCCCTCTGCTTCCTTTCTTGTCTTTTTATTTATTTGTTTTTGGACAGGTTATAGCTCTGTCTCCCAGGC